TGGTCCACTGCTGACACTTTCATAAAGTCTGACCTAGTGTAGGGACAGGGAGAGTATACGGATGTCAACTTTGGTTTTGCTTTCAAAAATCATAAAGGTGGAAGGACCTTTAAAGAAAATGAAATAAAACTTTCTTATTTTAAAGTTTGCATTTGTAGGATTAGGTGTAAATGAAAGTATTTGAAAACCCCCAAATATCAGTGAGATAACTGAGATGGAAGCTAATTTCACACCCCTGCAGGGCACAGCCCACAGTTGAGAGACACAGCCCTTTCTAGCTTACATTCCACTCTGAGTGGCTCCTTGTCCCCAGTGAACCTCAAGGTCTAATACAGCTGCTGGAGCTCCAGCCTTTACATACACAGGGACTGGTCAGAGAAGAGGCCAGATATTAGAAAACCATGGAAACCATGCTACCAGGCCAGGCTTTATTTTGAGGGAAGTCATTTAAATTTTCAGCAGGAGCAAGACATGGTTGGGTTACTCTGGCAACTCAGAAGATGGTTTTGAGAAGGACAAGAGGGCAGACAGCAGCCAATGCAGGACCCAGGCGAGGGCACAGAGGATGGATAAGGCTAGGGGTGCAACAGTGGAGGGAGTGAGCATGTCCCGCACTCCCAGAGAACTGTGGAGGACAAGGAAGGATGAGCTAACAGGATGGCGGAAAGGTGACGCAAGGCCAGGACTGTGACTTCCTTCTGGCGAGGAGTGAGCAGGTATGAGGAGATGGTTACTTTTCCTGAGAATGTCTACAGAAGAAGCAATATCTTCAGGGAAGTAGCAGGTGTAGAGAAGAAAGGTGAAAACATGGCCCTGTGCAAAAATGGAATATGTAAGGTAATCGCTCACTATGGAAAAGGGGGGTTACTGGATACAAGTGAAAGGAATTCGAGAGATTAGGCTATGAAGTAAAGCCTAACATAGGGGCAGCATTATTTGGGGATAGGCGATTCTGAGAGCTTCCTTTTCTTGAGTACTCAAAAACTATGGAGTTGGAGAAAGTGGTTAAAAGGACCTGGTCACAAATTTTAGAACTAATTCAGGCTATTTTCTGGTTAGCATTGGCTAAGAGGGCTGGGCAGTGCATGGCCAGGTCTGTGCAGAAGGCCAGCTCCTGCTCTGAGGAGGAAGTGGGGATTCTGCAGAATTCCCTGGTTAGTGCCAGAATGTCACAAGGCTCCCTGGGCTCAGCTGGAAAGGAGCAAGCAGCTCTGTCCACGAGGTAGTTGTGCAGACGCGCGGTTGCCCTGGCCCTGGCTGCAGTGCTCACGGCCCAGTGCACAGTGGGATGGAACCCAGCAAATTCAGCAGAATTTCTCGGTCGGTTCTGTGATGCCTGGAGGAGCCAGCTTCTTTATGCAACCTGCTGACTTTATTGCTATCGCAATAAAAACTTGTCACAGATCACATCTTAATTTACACCTTTGTAAATTACAAGTAAGATACAAGAATCTTGTCCTTAGTAAACCATAGGTATTTACCTGACCCATCAGTTACAGGAAAAAAAATGTCTAGAGATGAGTTAAGACCAGTGAATATTGAGTGTAAATTTTGGGGAAAAGCCAGTTTAAGAGAAAGCTCTTTTTATACTGCCCAGCTCTGGGATGCTTTAGGGGACTCGAGCGCATCCCTACTCAGGCAGTCCTCCCACAGCTTCTCATCAGTGCAGACCACACAACAGGGAGTGTGTTGTTCAACTTGAGAGGCACAGACAGTGATAGACAGATAGATGCAGAGATGCAGAGATTAAATGAGACTCTAAGAGTCTAAGACTCAAAGAGAGAGAGAGAGAGAGATCACGTACTTTCCAGTCTAGTGGGAAGGAGAGATTAGAAAAAGACAAGTAAAGTCCACATATAGCACGTGCCAGAAAGGAAGTGGCCCTGAGGCAGAGAGTGTCTCGGTAGGGCAAGATTCCCTTTACGCAGGGAAGTGGGCAGGGCTCTTTGAAGAGTTGCGGTTGGGAGTGGGTTGGGGCAAAGCACGTGCGGAAGTCCTGAACGAGACCGCGTTCGGTGGGTCTGGGGTACTGAGGGTAGCGCGTCCGCAGCGCCGCAGCGAAGGGAACGTGCTGAGGGACAGCAGTGCAGGCTCGATCACCCTGACACTTGGCCAAATTTAGCTTTGAATTTTTTATGGCTATCTCCACAAAACAAAATTAGTAAAATTGTATCTAAATTATGTAACGAACCTTTCTATTTTCTTTCTATTAAAGCAATTTCATAATAAATTTGCAATATACTTGGAGATCAATTCCATGATGTCACATCCTAAGCAGCTTCCAAAGGCCCCCATTGTCCAAGATCCACATCAGGGAAGATGCTTTCATCAAGTCACGGCCCAAGCAACATTCCGATGAACGGTGAGTCAAAGGGAAGATGGTTTTGCACACAAAAGTAGAGGAAACGTTATAGCTTAAATAGTAACTTTAATGCACTTTTGTATTTACAAACGTATTCATCTTGAAGTTGCTGGGATTTTGGAAAGTTCTATGATCATTTCATGCATAGTACAATTGATGTACAATACAAATTAAACATTTTTTATTATTGCATTATTGATTGATTTGATAGGAGGTAAGCGCTCAGGCTCAATTGCCTTATTCTGAGAAAGCTCTTGGGGAAAAACAGTCCTTTGTCTACTCAGCATAAGTAAATAAAATCTACAAATAAAAATTTCAATTTGCCTTGAAATGTGATTAGCTGATTCTATCAGGCCTACAACTTGTTACTAAAGTTTAAAAATATTACGTTCCAAAACTTCGCAAGAATATAATGAAAGCTCTGACGTTTGCTCACATACTGACGAAACATGCCCTGAATGAGTACTGTGCTTTCCATGACAAAGACCTGCAAGACCTTATAGTAAGATCAACTCTGCAGCCTGCTTAGGGAAGTGAACTTTCACACAACAATGCATTTGGACTTTTTTCCCCTAAAAGAATAGCATGGAAGAAAGAACCAGGGGAAAGACGGGTGGGAGGGGAGAAGGTTGCTCAATGGGTTAAGGAATGCTTGCCTGGCATAACAGATTTGCCTATTTTAGTCTCGACAGTCTGAGATATTGCCCCATGTCATTTTTTTTTTTCACTTTAAGAGAACACAGCCGATGGGCCCTAGGCCTGACACTTGTGAACTAATAACCGATTGGCTCACCGTCGGTGCTCCCCAGCAGGTGCCCAGTGCGCACCGTCTCCCGAGACTCCCGGCCACACCCGTAAGTGTGCACACTGCCAGCGGAGGCTGCGCCCTGGGACACGACAGGAGGGCGCCATGCAGCCCACCCCACAGGTGGTTCTTGACAGACCTGCCTGTGTCACATGGGGCACCATGGCTTCTCTTACTAACTCCTGGCAGCCACTCTTTCCGCTCCTTCGTTCCACAAACAAATGAAACAGTGAGAGAAAACCGGAGGTCTCAATCTTGGAATTACTTCATTCTGGATTGTTACTCATGGTTGGAAGAATTTTTCTGCCTTCAGTCTAAAGATGACAGCATGGATACAATAAATTAGTTTGCATTCCAAAGGCATTTTCCCCTCTGACATTAAACAAGTACTCTGGAGAATACTGTATGTTACTGCTCCTGGCTGAGTTAGTCCATTTTATTGCTGTCTTAAGTCAAAGAGCATATTCCGCCTATGGTTATGAAAATCAGAAAGTCCTCCCACACTAAAGTGTGAGGACTATTCTTTGCAGGTGCAGAATCTGTATTTCAAGTAGGTAAAGGATCAATTTTACTGGGCTATTTTCCATAAAAGCAAAGTTGGATTGTACCCCACACCTAAGTGCCATTGTCAGCCTGTTTCTATTTGGGAGACTGCCTATTTAACTAGTTTAAAAATTGCCAGTGGTTTTTCCCAGATTCCAGAGACAACCACCACCTCCCAAGAATGAGATGAGGGCGGGCGAAGAGAAAAAAATCTATAGTCATGTGCTGCACAATGACATTGTCGTCAACGTTGTACCACATATACAACAGTGGTCCCTTAAGATTATAATGCTGTATTTTTACTGTACCTTTTCACTGTTTATGTGTGTTTAGAGACACAAATACTTGCCATCGTGCTGTAATTGCTACAGTATTCAGTAGAGTAACACGCTGTGCAGGTTCGTAGTACAGGAGCAATAGGCTATACCAGATAGCCTGGGTGCGTAGTAGGGTATACCATCTAGGTCTGTGTAAGCACACTCTATGATGTCTGCACGAGGACAAAATCACCTAATGACGTATTTCTCAGAACATATCTCCCTCCTTAGGCAACCTTTGACTGTATTCCAACTTCTCCTTTCTCTCAAAAACGTTACTAAAAACCTGAAGATAGAACTGTCTAGTGACAGACTCCCTCCTGGTATCACAGCACAAAGACTGGCAACCTAAAAAGAGTGGCTCTGCCCAAAGAGTAAGCTCCTCACCCTCCTGCACAAGGCCTGGCAGAACTGTCATGTGGATAACACGACTGCTATTTTGTGAAGCTTCTCCAAGTCCCCCAAGATCTTCCAGATCTTAAGCCTTTCCTAGAGGTTTGACACCACCCAAAACATTATGATACTGCACAATACCTCACACAGCGTGCATACCGTATTTTCAGACGTTGATGATTTACACTGTAGTCAAACAGAGGGGCTGTCAACCCAAAAGACAGTGGCACTGAAAGTTAAAACTCCAACGTTCGCAGTCAGAGCAGTCTGCAAGGTGCCTGGCTGGGAACCTCCAAGCAGCATCGCGCATCCAGGCCGGCTCTGTGTGCGCTCCCGCGGAGCCAATCAGCGGCGGTCCGGCTGTTGCCATGGCCACGGAGCGTGTAGGGCGGGGATGCCCCTGGGCGCGCCCCTGCCCGGGAGCCAATCGGCGGCCACCCGAGCCGTTGCCATGGCCACACTGTCTGTTAGGGCCGCGCACGCGCCGGATGGCGGAGACCCCGCGGGTTGCCCGCGCTCCTGGGCTCGCCGGGGTCCAGCAGCCGCGCGCCGCCTCCGCCCGATTCCCTGAGCGCCCGGCATGAACCGCAAGAAGCTGCAGAAGTTGACGGACACCTTAACTAAAAATTGCAAGCATTGTAAGTAAGGCTCGAGTGCTGGGCAAGCCGAGCTCCTGGCCCAGGTCTCGGTGCGACCGCGACCGGGGCTAAGGCCCGCTGTTGTGCCTGCTTCCCACCTCTGGGGCCTCGGTGGGATGCAGCCTCCTCCGCCCGCTCCCTAGAGAGAGGAGTCTGGAGGGGAGCGGGCGCCAGCTCCTGGGGCGGGCACCCCCTTGGGAAATGATACTGCGACTCATGCTACCTACACTCCCGCACAGGACTGACCTGCTGCTCGTTTTAGAAACGTGATGTATATGCCCACGAGACGCATGTGGTTTTAGCCTCAGACAGGTGTAAAATAAAAACTAAAAACCACCGGACCCAAGAAAAGTAGAATAACCAACGTACACCAACGTCATCAACATCTGAACAACTTTAGGAAAGATACATTGAAGTGGCCCAGAAATCTGTGTCTCAGAGCAAGGAAATTTGGAAACCAGAGAGCTCAGCAAAGCTAAACACATGGTAAAGAATCGGTTCCCAGCTTTAGACTTCCATTGCCAGGTCCTGGCGGGGTTGAAAGATAAAGGAGACGTGGCCAGGTGACAACATGAGCGCTTATTCGAGGTGCCTGCTCTAATCTCGCGTTTAAGAAGGTGGTCCTAGAATTTCATAGGAAACTTTAGGATTGTGTTCAGACTGGAAAACGGAACTGCACTTGGGCAAGGAAGCCATAAATATGGTTTAGATGAGGAAAATATTGTCTGGTGAGCAAGCTTAGAAGTTGTGTGCTGATTGCAAAACTAGTGCCACTTGAATAAACAGGAGAAGCTATGATCCCAAAAACACCCTCATTGTGCAGAGGAGGAGGAATAAACACATTTTAATGTAGTTCTAGAGATTACAGGATCTAGTGCCTTCTAATCATCATTCCTATTTGATATAATGAGTGGTAAGGAATGCTCTCCTAGTGAGTTGGTGACATAAATAAAAATTGTGGTGTGTATAAACATCTTAAAATTCTTAGGAAAAAAGGCATCTTATAATTAAGGTATTATGGTTTTTATAATCTGATGAGAGTTTTGTTCTATTATTGTTTTTCTTAAAACATTTTCATTTCTGGGAGAACCAGATATTATTACAACATCTAGTAAACATTATGATAAATACTCATACACAATGCAGTATCTGCTGTACACAATACTGAATTTGAGTTAGTCCCTGTTCAGTAAGTTTGACTGTATTGCAAACATTCTGTGAGCAATTCAAAGGTAAATGTGTACTTTTAAAGCTAAGTGAAACCATGGCAGGAAAAAAGTCAACTCTTTTGATTTTTCTCTGTATGTAAAAGTTTTAAAATGAGCCTTATAAATTTTGAGGATTACTAGTTAATTTCTACAGAAATAGTTATGTCATGGACATTATAATCATTTTAAATTTCTTTGAACAGAGGACCTTTCCCCTGAAGTCAAATTTATTTTTAATTGCAAGATGATAATGCTACCAGGATGAAATGGATACATTTTGTAGAATCAGAGAAGAGTAAAGGATCTTAGGAGAGCATCTAGTTAATCCACAGTCCTACAGATATGATCTGCAAGATACATTTAGAACTTTCTGAAAAGATGAAAATCCATTCTTGAATTTTTCTTAATTTCATTTAGTATTGTATTCTTGAATTTAAGAAACATTTAGCAGGGAAATTTTCTTATGGCTAACCTTTGACATAGTGGGTAATAAACTAATTTTTTAAAAACATTTTAGCTGAAATGGAAAGATGGCTAATTAACATCCCCTCTGCTAGCATTTCTTTAATAGAGTATATCATTCTTCATGTAGGCTTTTCTTCTCCAATCATTAACAGCTCTTTATTTTTAGAGGTTTGTGTGTGTATGTGTGGTTAAATATATACACCATAAAATTTGCCATTTTAGCCATTTTAAATATGTAGTTCTGTGACATTGACATACACATTGTTGTTCAACAATGACCACCATCCATTTTCCAGAACATTTTCATCTTCCCAAACTGAAACTCTGTACCCATTAAACACTAATTCCCCATTTCCCCCTCCCCAGCCCCTGACAACCACCATTCTACTTTCTGTCTCTGCTTTCTCTGTACATAATTTTGACTACTTTAAGTACCTCATATAAGAGGAATCATATAATATTTGTCCTTTTGTGTATGGCTTATTTCACATAGCATAATATCCATAAATATTCATCCACATTGTAGCATGTGTCAGAATTTCCTTTCTTTTTTAAGGCTGAATAATATTCAATTTTATGAATATGTCACATTTTGTTTATTCATTCATCTGTCAATGGACTCTTAGATGGCATCTATCTGTTGGCTATTGTGAATAATGCCATTACGAACATTGGTGTACGAAGATCTGTTTCGGTACCTGCTTTCAATTCTTTTGAGTATATACTCAGAATTGGAATTATTGGATCATATGGTAATTATGTGTTTAATTTTTTTGAGGAAACATACCATTTTCTAGTAACTAACAGTTGTTTCAAAAATCATAGCCATTATATGCTTCTCTACTATTTAATTTATTTACTAAATCTTTTCCTTTTCATAGTTTCAATGTTTCTGTGGAAATGTGGTTCTCAAAATCAGAATCACACTCAAGCTTGTCCTGACCTTATAGGATGAAGTGTGACTTCTCCATTCTTATGTGCTGTCTTCTGTTATATGTGCATAGGTTTTGTCCTTTTGTTTTTAAAAATATTCAGCCATAATTTTATCTAGTTTTGAAACAAAATTATCCCCATTTTCTGCCCATATTTAGACTCACCTTTATGTTCTGAAGACCAGGCAACAACCCTTTCACTTACATACCTCAAATAGGGATTGGAACACAAATAATTAACTCAGTGTTTATAACCACCACCTTTTATGCAATTATGTATATGGGCCAGTATCTGTGTATGTATATATTATTCATATAAAAAATTCCTTTCTCCAAAATAACTTCTGAATAATTGCATGTTAATTTTTACATAATTCTCAAGATGATCCGTATTGGGTGTTCCAATATGCTTAAAAGCTTCTTTATTGGAAAATAAGTCATCCTGATTTCCAAAATCTGGCTTATGAATTCATTAAGCCTAACTGCAATGAAAATTGTTACCTAGTTTTCATGAGCCTGGTGTCTGTTTCCAGGGAAAGAGTACACTGTAAATCTCATAAATACCTATAATCAAAATGCTGGGAAAGAAAGTTACCATTCTTAAAACTTACCATTCTTACTTTGAATCATATTTCTACCAGCCTTGTAGAGTTTAAGATCTGACACCACAATCATTATTCTAGTAACTTGGCTAATATTATCTTCTTTGCTTCTAAACATGACAACTCCTGTCTGGAGGGAATGCTACTTCTTTTATTTTAGTGGTTAATGTAGCTTTGGCCATCTTCTACTAACCTAAGAATCATGAAGCTTAAAACAGGAGAGTTTTCTATTGACAATTACATATTTGATGTCTTTGATGTTGTTTCTCTGTAACCTCATTAATGCAAAATTTAAGTTAAGACTTAAAGACAAAAAATGCATTTTTTGTTATATCTTAACTTTATTCTTTCACAGTTAATACATTTGAAGTGAATTATCTTATAAAGTTATTTTATAACTTGGTGGGAGAAGGCGTAGAGCGGCAAGGAACAGCCATTGGACTAGATCGCAATGCATTTCGAAACATCCTGCACATGACATTTGGAATGACTGATGACATGATAATGGACAGAGGTAAGAGACATACAAGATTCAAATTGGCCAAATCCAGCCACAGCTAATAAAAAAGCTTGGAGCTTGGACACGTTCTTGGTAGGAAGCTTAATGTCTACATTCCCAATTTCACATGAATATGAAAATTTAATTTTTCAAAGATCATAGGGAATGAAGTAATATCCTCTCTATTTTGTGTATTTAGAAGAGAAAGTCATATTGAGTAACTAGGTTTCCTTCACTTACTTTATATCATAAACCACAAACACGTCAATTTCTACTTAGTAAACATAGTAATAAATATTTAATAGAATAGTTTTAAAAGGATGTTTAAATTTCCTTACATCAAAGAAAATATTTCACTAAAAGTTAAGATATAATTCTATCCATCATGTAATAACATTACTTTTTTGAGTAACAAAAATATATTGATAAAATATCATTTTATATTAACATATTTAACATATCTGATTAGTATAATTAACATTTATACCAATAGATTATTAATTAATTAGTGATTGATATATTTATACATTCAGAACTTTCTTTGTTCCCACAAAACACGAAGAGAAAATTTGAGTGTTTAAATAAAAGAGTTTCCTGATGTTATGATGTCTTAGTTTCCCTTTTGTCAAATGAGAACATTGAATCATATGATCCTGAAGTTTTCTCTGAATTTTAAAAGCAAGTAATGCCAATATAGATACCTTACTGAGAAATAAAATGCAGCTCAAGTATCACATGGTACCTCTCTCTCTTTAGTATTCCGAGGTTTTGATAAAGACAACGACGGCTGTGTAAATGTAACAGAGTGGATTAATGGATTATCACTGTTTCTTCGAGGATCTTTGGAAGAAAAAATGAAATGTAAGATTTCAGGTTATCCTGTTTGTACATCACAACTAACATACTTAGAGCACTTAAGTCAATGTCCCCCAACCCAGCCAATGAAGTGGGCGGGCAGGTTCCTTGATTGGTTGGTTTGAATGCCTATTAGCCTCTTTTATTCAAGTAAATAAGGGATGAAAGAAAGTTAATAAAAACAAAAATCAAGTGATCCTGAGGAGTAATTCATGCCAAGGAAGACTGCATATGCATTACTGAACATGCTAATTATGTACATATACATGTACATATTAAGTATTTTACATATTTATTACTTGAATTGTAACCATAAAACCGAAGAACATTTCTGATTCTTAATTAATTCTCAGTTAATTCCGATGAACTCTGTTTAAGAGTCGTATTTCAATCAGCTTTCCAAGGGTTTCAAGATGTAAATGCTGAAGTTATTGTTCCTTGGTATGCTTTTTTGTAGCTGAGCGTAAGGACATGTTTTCTAAGGATTGTTGAATATATTCACCTACTGTACATTAGCATTTACTAATCAGGTTGCACCAAGGTCTGCCGGATTGATAGAGTATCAACAAGATAGAATTTGGCCATGAAAACTTTATCAGAGAAAGTGTTACCTTAGTGACAGTATCAAATTCACAATTTGTTATTTTTTTAAAAAGATTGCTTTGAAGTATTTGATTTGAATGGTGATGGATTCATTTCAAAGGAGGAAATGTTTCACATGTTGAAGAACAGCCTTCTCAAACAGCCATCTGAAGAAGACCCTGATGAAGGAATTAAAGATTTGGTCGAAATAACACTTAAGAAAATGGTAATCATGGGTAATTTAGAGTTTTATATTGAAGTTTATAGGCCAGATATGGACAAGAAATAAAAATTAAAATTATAATTTATTTAGTAAGTTTCCAGTTTTGTTAAATAAAACACTTGAATTGTGCTCTTTATTATAATATTAAAAATTCTCTTTAATTTCACTATGTAATCTCTTATTTTTCTAGCACATCTTCTCTATTAACACTTCACTATGAAAAAAGTATGTATTTTTCTTAAGCGCTTTATCTGTTGTCTGACACGTTGCTGGTGCCCTGCAGGATCGTGACCATGACGGGAAGCTGTCTTTTGCAGACTATGAACAAGCTGTGAGAGAAGAGACCCTTCTGCTGGAAGCTTTTGGACCATGTCTACCTGATCCAAAGGTACGGGTGTGACTTTCACTGAACGGTAACCAACACATAACCTCGGATAAATGACCCAGAGCTTTTCAGTTTGACGAGTGGTGGATCAGACAAACTCTGTTCACTCACGGAAAGCCCACTGAAGAAGAAGCTACTGGTTCATTGGCTAGCACTATTTATGGTAGCCCAATGCTGTTTTCATTCATTAACTCATTCATTCATGCCAGAGACAATTAATGGGGCTTAATGTGCGCCAGAAGCACAGGCAAAAAGCTCAATGGCTTCTTCACTCAAGGGCTCATATTTTCCAGGGGAAAATGAACATGAAAATAATTATGCAAGAGTATGATAAATATTATAATGATATTTAATGACTTGTACGGTGCTTCATCTATGCCAGGCAATGTTGTAAGCAGTATGCCCCAGATTGCCTCATTTAAGGCCCCCGATAACCCTATGAAGTAGACAGTATTATTATCCTCAGTAAACTGAGGCTCGGAGAGTTTAGGCAACTTGTCCAAGTTTACTCACTAGTTGGTGGACTAGCCGGGGTATGCTGGTGCCAGAGTCAGAGGTATATGTAGAGTGTCAGGAAGAAGGTCATCTGAACCAGCTGCGTGGAATGACTGGGAAGTGGCTGGTGGGACAGCAAGGCTTATCGGAATAACTAGATTTCCAAGGACAAAATAGCCAAGTCAAAAGTGGAAAAATAATATGAGCAAAAGGGATGACATATGTACAAAAGAGAAAAAATGGGGGAGAGAGAGAGAAAGAGATCTGGCCAGAGATGCAAGGAGTCTGTATTGGAAGAGTGTCTGTAGTGGTCTGAGATTGGTGCGAGGCCACGATGCACAGGAGGACCACATCCCCTGGGACCCTGAGCCTGGGTTTCCTCTCAAAGGTGATGAGGCCTCCCGGGCCATTTGAAGCAGATGGAATGATGTGATACATAAATATTACCACTCCCCCAGGCTCTAGTTGTATCTCCAGCTGCCTGCTCAACATGTCCACTTAGATGTTGTCAACAAACTCTTGATTTCCCCCCAAAGCTTGCCCTTCCCCCAGTCTCGACAAATGGCAACCACATACACACAGTTGTTCAGTCAAAAACCTACAGGCCATCTTTAATTTCTTTCTTGTAGTACCATTCACTGCTCCTCTAAAATATGTCTCTGAATATAACCTGTTCCCTACACATCCGTCAGACACCACCCTAAATCAAGCCACCATCATCTCTCACCTAGCCTAGATCATTCGTTTTCTTCAGTCCACTGTTGTCCCCTACTGATTTTTCTCCACAATATCCAGTACATTTAAAATGCAAATGCTACCGTGCCTCTCGCTCCAAGCCCTCCAGTGGCTTCTGAAGCTGACACAGCTGGCTTTTCTCTCTCTCCAACCACATCTCCTATTATCTCCCTTTCTCTCTTGCTGCTGGAGGTATGGCAGCCGTCTGGCGGGCCTCCTTCCATGCCTTTGCACTTGCTGTCACCTCTGTCCAGAAGTCCTTTCCCCAGACCTCAGTTTCTCACATCATCTCTCTCTGCTCAAATGCCACTTACTCACAGAGCCTCATCTTGACCATCTTAACTACTCCGCCCTCTCCATCCCTTAACTCTGCTTTCTTTTCTTAGAAGCTCTTTTTATTACTTAAGATATATTTGCTCATTTACTTACGGTCTGTCTCACCACATAGATAGAAGCTCATCTGAGGTTGGGAACTTGGTCCTTTTTTCACTGTTTCCCTATATCCTGTGTGTAGCACTTGGTAGGTGCCTAGTAAATGATGGATGAATGGATGGATAGATGGATCTCAGAACTTGCTGGATGGGTAATTCTGAAACTGTCTCCTTCCATCTCCTCTGGAACTATTTCATCATTTACCTTTACATTTACCACACATTTTCAACTTCTTACCTCTCTAGAAAAATCTTCTCATTAGAGTTTTAAAGGATTCAAAAGTGTCCCATCTGAAAAATAAAACAATAGGAAGAAGGGAGGGAGGGAAGGCAGGCAGGCAGAAAGGAAAGGAAAGGAGAGAGAGACAGAGAAGGAGAGAGGAAGGAAGGAAGGAAGGAAGGCAGGGAAGGGAAGGGAAGGAAAAACGAGAGAACTTTCCTCAATTCCACAGCTACTTGCATCTCCTGTCCAATGGCTTTCCTTCTCATAGTCAAATTTCTTAAAAGAATTGTCCGCATTGAAAATCTACACTACTGTCACTTCTCCTTGTCCATCCCTGAATCTGCTATTGCCGAGGTCACCCTGCCTTCCTCATTAGTAAATCCCATGAGCCCTCTTGGATTCTTATCTTCCTGGACCACATCCCTTCCTCGCCCCCAGCTTTCAATCTGGCTTCTCCTGCTCTGTGAAGCATGTCCTTCCCTGCCGAGGCCTGCTATGCCCCGATCTGTCCTCCTGGACTCCCAGAGTCCATGTGTGCCTTCCCCACTGCAGCTCTCAGGGCCCTGCCTATGCTCGCCAGTTTCGGGCCAGTCGCCACCATCAGGCGGGAAACTTGTGGAGAGCTGAGTGGCCTTGTCCATCTTTGTGGCCCCAGAGCAAGCACTGTGTTTGGAGTATAGTCAGCACTGACGGGATCTGTGAGTGCAGCAGGCGTGAGCACCGGGAGTTCTCCACGCCTGCTCTCCCTCAGTCGTCCCGCCTCTACACACACTCAGGACATAACACAGAATGTTTTGTGCTGTTCTACCTTTTGTGGAAATCTGTACTAAGTTGAACACTTTTATTTTACAGAGCCAGATGGAATTCGAAGCCCAAGTATTCAAAGATCCAAATGACTTCAATGATATGTGAACATTTCTGTATTGTCTCAAGTAAGGAAAACAGGAGGCACATATGTTATTGTTTATTTTTTCTATTTAGCCCGGAAAGATGATGTTGAATTGTGTATGGGGGTGGGGGTGTAGTTCACTTACATATCTTATTTAACCCTGGTGTAAGGTGTGAGTAAAACAGACGGAAGACAAGAAGTTCCTTGTTAGATGTTGGGTTCGGCGAGACAGGCTAACATTGCTAGAGACATTTTATCATGGATTATCTCTCGAAGCACATACTGTCTCTAGATGAATGAAGAGAATATATAATCATGAATTAAGACAAATGTTTTTCATGTGAAGAAGAAGCTGGCTGTATGCAGAAAAATCATTGACACTACTGGATTTCCTTTGAAACCCAATAAATAAGATGGCATCAAAAGAATAGTAATACTGGCATTTAATATCGAAAAACCTTTCTGGGCCGGGCGCGGTGGCTCACGCCTGTAATCCTAGCACTCTGGGAGGCCGAGGCAGGTGCATCGTTTGAGCTCAGGAGTTCAAGACCAGCCTGAGCAAGAGTGAGACCCCATCTCTACCAAAAATAGAAAGAAATTAATTGGACAGCTAAAAATATATAGAAAAAAACTAGCCGGGCCTGGTGGCGTGTGCCTGTAGTCCCAGGTACCCGGGAGGCTGAGGCAGGAGGATCGCTTGAGCCCAGGAGTTTGAGGTTTCTATGAACTAGGCTGATGCCACAGCACTCTAGCCCAGGCAACAGAGTGAGACTCTGTCTCAAAAAAAAAAAAAGAAAAACCTTTCTGCTAGGCATTGAGGGAGATACAGAGAGATGAAAGATACATGGAACCTCTTTTAATATGATCTATATTGCTATTTAAGGCTTTTCCTTAACAATCTTACTACATTGTAGACATCTGTGGGCAGGGTGTTATCTGCACACACCTTTATATCTGCCATAGCGGTTAGTCTTCAGCATGTAATGGGCCCTCCACATATACCGTGGATTGGATTGAAACCTGAAAAGGACCACAGGATAAATACAAATGCCAGGTGAGCAGAGGAAGAGGAATATGCTCCCTGTTTCTCAGGTTTAATGAATAATGCTTTCAGCTTATCTCTGGAGTTGCTCCAGATAGCCCCTGCCCCCTGCTTTGCCATGGGTTGGCAGAGCCCCCGCCTGGCTCCCTGTGTCCCTCCACGTCCAGCTGAGTGCACCACAGTGTCTTCGTCCCCTCCCTGCACTCCCCTGGGATGGGGAAAGGATGGAATGGATAGATGGAAGGAAGAAAGGAAGGATGGATGGATAGATAGAGGGATGAAGAATCCCATCTGGGATTCTCCTTGTGCGCCCCCTTTATCAGGGAATGGCTGTGAACACCTGCAGACAGACCTGGCTTCTGCCTGAATCCAACTCTCTAGTGTTTGCAGGCATCGTGTGGAGCACGAGAAAGACGGAGCCTAGTTAGGATTGTGTGTGCTACTTTCTGCTTTCTTAGTACACATGGCAAGCACCTGAGAGAAGTGTTTGCAATGTCTGTTCTATCCATAGATAAACGTGCTTAGAGGCCACTAGGGATAGTAAATCTCCTTTTTACTACATATGCATTATCAAGTTTAAGTAAAAGAGTATATTGTGTAAAAAATGGACTGCTACTAATATATAAAATAAGTAGTTCCATGAAATAAAAGAAAAATATTTTACTGTGAAATTATCTCCTTAAAATTTTAGATTCTCATAGAGATGGACTTTCACACAATTTTTCAATCTGCAGTAGGTGTAAATAATGCAACGCACAATGATTTTAATTTTTTATCTTTATTCGGGAGTAATTGACAATTTAAATTTGTATATATTTAAAGTGTACAACTTGATGTTTTGATATACCTATACATTGTGAATAATCAACACAATCAAGTTAATTAACACATACATCACCTCATGTAGTTACCATTTTGTTATGTGTGTGACCTACCCTATTAGCAAAGTTCAAGTATATAATACAGTATTGTTAACTATAGCCACATTGCTGCTCATTACATCTTCAGAAATTATTCATCTTGCATAACTGAAACTTTGTCTTTGCCAACATCTCCCAATTTTCCCTTCCTCTCAGCCCATGGCAACCACCATTCTACTTTCTGTTGCTATAAGTTTCAGTATTTAGGATCCCTTATATAAGTGAGATCATGCAGTGTTTGTTTTTTTCTGACTGGCTTATTTCACTTAGCATAATATCCCCCAGGTTCCTCCATGTTGTTGAAGATGACATATTTTCCCTCTTTTTAAAGGGTGAATAATATTCCATTATGTATGTATGTATATGCAATGCATATGCACACACATACATATATGTATGTATATATTATGTATATATTTCATACTTGATTCATTCATTCATCCACTGACATTTAGGTTGTTTCCATATTGTGGCTACTGTGAATGACACTGCAATGAACACAGGGATGTAGATATCTCTTTGTGATACTGATTTCATGTCCTTCAGATGTATACTTAGAAGTGGGATTACTAGATTATATGGTAGTTCTAGTTTTAAATTTCGAGGAGCCTCTATAGTGTTTTCCATAATAGCTGTGCCAATTTGCGTTCCCACCAACAGTGTTCAGGGTTCCCTCTTCTCCACCCTTGCCAGCACTTGTTACAATATCTTTTGTCTTTTTGGTAATAGTCATTCCAAGAGGTTATTATCTTACTGTGGTTTTGATTTGCATTTCCCTGATGATTATAGACATTGATCACTTTTTCATATACCTATTGGCCATTGGTATATCTCTGAAAAATGTATAGTCAGGTCCTTTGCCCATTTTTATTCATGTTTTTTTCAGAGTTTTGTTTTGTGTGTTGGGGGGGTTGTTTGTTTGGTTGTTTTTTTTTTTTTGCTGTTGAGTTATATGAGTTCTTACATATTTTAGGCATTAACCACTTATCAGAGATACGATTTTCATATGTTAATATTTTTATGATGGTTTCCTTTTCAGTGTTAATTGTTTTCTTTGCTGTGTTTGTTGTTGTTGTTCAATTTGATTCAATCCTATTTATTTTTGCTTTTGTTGTCTGTGCTTTTGGCATCATATCCAAAAAATCATTGCCCAGACCAAAGTCATGGAGCTTTTCCCCTATGTTTTATTCTGATATTTTTATAGTTTCAGGTCATGTATTTAATCCATTTTGATTGATTTTTGTATATGGTATGAGATAAGGATCCAATTTCATTCTTCTAATGCAGATATCTAGTTTTCCCAACACCGTTTACTAAGGAGACTCTCCTTTCCCCATTATGTATTCTAGGCACCTTTGTTGAATATCAGTTGATCATACATGGCCTGACTTATTTGGGGCTCTGTATTCTGTTCCATTGGTCTATGTTTGTTTTTATCAGTACCAATCTGTGTTGATTCTTATAGCTTTGAAATCAGGAAACGTGATGCCCCCAGATTTGTTCTTCTTGCCCAAGATTACTTTGTCTATTTAGAGTCTTTTGTGATTTCATATGAATTTTAGGATTATTTTTTCAACTTTCACAGAAAGAATGTCATTAGGATTTTGATAGGAACTGTATTGGGTCTGTAGATCAATTTATGTAGCATGGACATTTTAATGATATAAATTCTTCCAATCCATGAGTATGGGATGTCTTTCCATTTATCTGTATTTTGTTTAATTTCCTTCATCATTGTTTTTATAATTTTCAATATACAAGTCTTTCACCTCTTTGGTTAAGTTTATTACTAAGTATTTTATTCTTTTTGTTCCTATTGTGACTGAGATTTTTTTCTTAATTTTCTTTTAAGATAGCTTGTTGTTTGTGTGTAGAAATGTGATTGATTTTTGTAAGTTGATTTTGTATCCTGCAGCTTTACTGAATTTGCTTATTAATACTAACAGTTTGTGTGGTTGTTGAGTCTTTAGAGTTTTCTACATATATAATGATGCCATTTGCAAATGGAGATGATTTTACTTCTTCCTCTTCAATATAGACACCTTCATTTCTTCTTCTTGTCTAATTGCTCTGGATAGAACTTCCAGTACTGTGTTGAATAGAGGTGACAAAAATGAGCACATTTGCCTACCGGAGCTTAGAGGGTCTTACAAGATCTTAGAGGGAAAGTTTTCCATTTTTGTTATGATGTTAGCTGTAGTTTTTTCATATATGACCTTTATTGTGTTGAGGTGAGTTCCCACTATACCTATTTTTTAAGGTTTTTAAAGATGAATGGATGTTAAACTTTGTTAAATGCTTTTTTTTCTGTATCTCTCGAGATGATCATGTGGAATTTTTTCTTTCTTTTTATTGACGTGTTGTATCACATTGATTGATTTGTATATGGTGAACCTCCTTGCATCCCAAGGATAAATTCCAACTGGTCATGGTGTTATGATTATTTTAATATATTGTTGAATTCAGTTTGCTAGTATTTTATTAAAGATTTTTACATCTATGTTCATCTGGGATATTGGCCTATAGCTTTCTTCTCTTGTGTTGTTATTGTCTGCTTTGGATCCAGGATGACACTGGCTTCATAAATGAGTTTGAAAGTGTTCCCTTTTCTTCTGTTTTTCAGAAGAGTGAAAGCAGGATTGGTATTAATTCTTTGAATGTTTGGTAGAATTAACCTATGAAGATATCTTGTCCTGAACCTTTCTTTGTTGAAAAGTTTCTGATTACTGATTCAGTCTCCTTATTTATTATTGGTCTGTTCAGGCTTTCTATTTCTTCATAACTCAGTTTGATAGATTATATATTTCTAGAAATGTATCCATTTCTTCTAGGTCATTCAGTTTGTTGGCATAATAATTCTTCATAATAATCCTTTTATTTCTGAAGCATCCATTCTAATGGCTCCTCTTTCATTGGTGATTTTGAGTATTCTCTCTCTTTTCCCTCATCTAGCTCTTTGTCAATTTTGTTTGTCTTTTCAAAAACCAACTCTTAGTTTTGTTTATTTTTTTATTCTCTATTTAATTTATTTCTCCTTTAATCTTTATTATTTCTTTTCTTTTGCTAACCTTAGGCTTAGTTTGTT